TAACCGAGCACGTTTATTCTTAAGGTGAAAGCATTACAGAGACAATGTATTAAAAACAGTAAAAGAATCTACATGTATGTTAATCATCCCCAACTCTTTTCAGAGTAACAGCCGTGTTAGTCTGTATCCGCAAAAAGAAGAACAGGAGTACTTGTGGCACCTTAGAGACTAACAAATTTATTAGAGCATAAGCTTTCGTGGACTACAGCCCACTTCTTCGGATGCATATAGAATGGAACATATATTGAGGAGATATATATACACACATACAGAGAGCATAAACAGGTGGGAGTTGTCTTACCAACTCTGAGAGGCCAATTCTCTTAATTAATTGGCCTCTCAGAGTTGGTAAGACAACTCCCACCTGTTTATGCTCTCTGTATGTGTGTATATATATCTCCTCAATATATGTTCCATTCTATATGCATCCGAAGAAGTGGGCTGTAGTCCACGAAAGCTTATGCTCTAATAAATTTGTTAGTCTCTAAGGTGCCACAAGTACTCCTGTTCTTCTTTATCCCCAACTCTAACACAGGTCCTTCAAACCCCACCAAGGAGTTTTCCCTGTGGTTACAAGATCAGAATGGTTTTAGCTCAGAACTAGCACCCCCATGAATCTTTCTTTCATTCAGCTTTGGCCTTCAATCTTCAGATTCCAGAGCCAGGTAATCAGCAGGCAGTGGACCCCTCCTCAGGAATTAGCTTCAAAAGGTTAGGCATTTGCCTAACCAGAGGTGAAAATACACATTCGCTTCCCCTCCCACTAGAGATTCCCAGGCAAACCACTTGACACTGTCCAAAAGTCCATTCTTGTCTGGCCTATAGTCCTCTGACGTTCCTAACACTTCCCAGGGCTCACATCCCATCTGCCCCCTCAAGAGGTTACATACAATCCCAGCCCACATTCATATATCAACTTTGTATTTAATATACTGGACTCCACAGATACTTTAATTCAGTAAGGTTTTTCAAGGACATTTCACTCCCTGTCACAGTACCTTTTAGGACTTCTTCAGAGAGATTAAAAAAGGGCACCCAATCGATCTTTGAAGAAAACCTCTGAAAAAAACAAGGGAGCTGGAATTGGCTCTATTTCTATTAACTGAAAGGCTTTCCTTGGGTTTCTGTCACTGGGGGAAATGACTGGGCAGCCCTGCTAAATGAGAGCCATTACTTGTATCTAAGCAGCACCCAACTGCCCCCCTAGCCACTGTACAGACACAGTGAGTGACAGTTTTGCCTCAAAAGCACAGAGAAGGAAGGTGACTTGCCCAAGGTCACACTGCAGTTCAGTGGCAGATTTGGGAATAGAACCCAGGTCAAGTTCTAGTCCACTGCCCCAACCACTAGACCATACTATCTCCCAAATGAGCCCTTTCACAGATAGAAACACTGTCGAGGTAAATAAAATCGGGCACTCATTTTAAGGCTAACCTAGCTCCTCAAAACACCAACTTAAAAGCCTCAGTTCTGCCCTGTTTGCCAATGGCATTCTGGGAATTAGAATCAAATTCCTATGGAGGGGATTTCATTAAGCAAGCCACATCCTCTTGCAGCCATGCTTCATGATGCTTAGAAGTCAGAGAGCAAGATCTGAGTCTCTGCAGCTGACAGTGAAGACTAATAAATGCATATTTAGAGAGTGGGATTCGGAATGCAGGAGGCCAGTACCAACCAACCAGACTGGGAGACATGTCCATCCCAGCATATCAACTGGAAGGATGCTTGACAGTCAGATTGGGGAAAACAGACAGTGTAAAACATGGAAGGATTAGAGTAGAAAAAGAATGGATAAGACACCTGACCAGATTGGTATGACCAAGGAAAGAAGGAGGGTTAAAACCAATGGAGGTTACAGGTGCCACTGGGAAACATCCAGGCAGATAACATGACTAGAGAGCAGGTCATCTGTGACCATCCTAGCACAGCTCCACTGACAGTAGCAACTGTGGGAAACTAGTATAGACCAGCCACCTCCTTGCTACCACCACAGCACCTATCACTGCCTAGAGCAGATTCGTCAAGGATTGGAGAGGACCAGGGCAATGACAACCTCACGAGTGTGAAAGGCAAGTAACTGAGGGGAGGCGATCAGCAGAGGTTTTACAGCCTTGTTTTTTGTTGACTCCCATTAAACTTCTATGCCCAATTAATATTCTAGAGAAAAAGTATTTGTGAAAGATTAAACATCCACGATGTGTTCAATGAAGATGGAATAGAGCCCATCTCTGAGATCTCCCAACAAGTCCTCCAGCAAACCCAGGGAAGCTGTACAGGTAAAAATAAAATGAACAGGATTTAAAATACATACAGCTTGCTGACGTCCTTCTTCCATCAAAAAAGCTGCAAAAAAACCCCAAAAAAGGCATGAGCCCAATATTTTATTTCTTTCATAATCTTTTACAAGTCACCTTTTAATTAACCCAACAAATACAGCGCTATACACCAAGAGCCAACTATGCACAGAAATGTACCTGTTCCAGTCAAACCAGGGAATCTGGGTCACTGAAACCAACTCTGGTAACACCCATTCTAAACCCTAGTAGCAAGTCCCTCATTCAAACCCAGGATGCTACAGTGGAATGTCTTCAGAGGTGTATATGTGAATTACAAAGGGTGGGATGACAGGTGTGACTGGGCTAGGACGACTGGTGCAAACAAGACACACATCCATAATGATCACAAAAGACACCATCAAGTATCTGATATGCTGGCAAGCAGGCTCAGCAGTCCGGATTCCAGTTTTGTGCTCTCCAGCGATTAAGACTGCTCTGGATATAGATTTCTTTGGTTCCTGTTTACACTAGTTCCACCTGTCCCTAACTGGGAGCTGAAGCACTGTGGACCAGAAGGACCGCAGAAGTCCGAATCCCTGTGCAACCTGAGGCAAATCACAATCTCTCTGTGCCTACTTATACAGTTGTGGTGAAGCACCCAGACCCAAATAGTACCAAGAGGTGATCCTCAGCACCCCTTGAAGCGTTACCATCCACAGGGACCTGAGGCACACAGAGACGGACTTGCTCTCACAGAGAGTCTGTGGCAGAGCTGTGAATGGACCCGAGATCTCCTGAATCCCAGTGCAAGGGCTCTACTCCTCTGTGAAATGGAGATAATGATACTTGCCCCTGAGATCATAAAGGCTGCATCAGGAGTTTAGACTTCTCTTTCAACACACTGTTAGAACTAGGATGGAACATCATCTTCAGATGCATGAGTCGAGAACAGGCACCATGCTCTTCTTCTAAGGAGGAAGGCTTCCCACCTCTGATCCCATTCAAATCTTCTGTGTACAAACTCCCTCTCCCCACCCAGGTGATGGAAGAATTCCAAGAAGTTAACCCTAAAACTAAAGTTTCAGCACTGTCTATAATGTGCTTACACAACACCTTCATCATCTAATACTTAATTAAATTATGTTGCCCAATCAGCCCCCTGGCAAGGAGGTAACGATTGTCCCTATTTTATGGATAGAGAAACTGTGGTACAGAGAGGATATGTGACTTGCTCCTAGATCTCAGTCCAACCACTAGACCACATGTCTAGCTAAGAAGGTCTGAACTCATGTTGACCCCAACTGTGGAACTATACAACATTGCAAGTACCGGCACACACACGGCTGTATGGGTCTCCAGTTTTCTGAACACATTCCAGGATTTGGAACAAAGACTGTAAACCAAGACTTCCAAAAGTGACTAGTGATTCTGGGAGCCCAGCTGAAAGGGGACTGATTTTCAGAGGGCAGGTGGCTCAGCGTTTTCCAAGAGACTCAAGTTGGTGACCCAAAAACCACTAGTCACTTTTGAAAATCTGGACCTAAGCTCTCCAGAACATGGACCAGGCACTGATTGGCAGCATGTAGACATAACATGTTCTCTACTAATGTCTCAGTACTTTTCCCACCAGTGTTTAGCCAAGAGAGACGTGCCTAGAGTCCACATTTATTCACACATGTACGTCAGTTTTTTTCCCCCCCATCTTTCAACTGACATCCTTTAAACTGCTATCCCCAGGCCTCAATACAGAGGATGCAGAGAGCCAGCTCTCTGAAAGATATACCATTGAGATGCACCTGTTCCATATGCACCACTCTCCCTCAACTCAGCTTGGCTCCATCTCCAAGACCGGGGCACCTGACTTTGCCAGCATCACTGCCACACTCTGCAATGACCCAGACTGAAAGCTAACTCGTGCAATAGCCATCTACACCAAGAGGGCAAGTGGCCACCACCCTGTGCTCCTGAAATTCTGTGCCCAGACACCCTAGCCAGACTAACTCATGCCCCCAGGGTGCCAGGCCAGGCCACTGCCCAGATCAATAAGCGACCCACGCACACGCTTTACCGCATTGCACTCCAAAAGCAAACAAGAGGCAGACACATAGGTGCCTAGCAGTCAGGAAGCACTTAAACCACGCGACGCACGGTTAATCTGTCTCCTAAATCTGCAGCTCAAACGGTGGGAGGGCAGGGAACGTGGCAGGGCGCACCCCCCACTTCACAGTGAACCCCAAATCACCCCTGGGGCAGAGGGAGACTTTACCCTGCAGGGCAGGCCCAGCAATGTCACTGACTGCAAGGAAAGATCTCACGCTGCACCAACGGAGCTTCCACTCCCTCTCCCCTGCTTCTGGAATGACTTTCCAACCAGCGCAACCTACTTCTCCCTCCTTCCCTCCCAAGCGATGCACTACCCCTTTAAGAGGCCAGGCAAGATGGAGCCCTTGCCTTGTCCACTGCATTAAAAAAAAATCCCCAAACCAAACCCCCTTTGCAGCGCCCCGATCCGCAGGACTGAGAGCGCGGGGCGGTAGAGGCTCCCGTGCCTTGGCTGGGTGTGCACAGTCCTCCCCCGCTCCCCAGGGGACACTGAGGCTTGCAAGCAGCCCCCACTCCCGCTGATCTGCAAGAAAGAGGCTGTTTCCTAAGGTGGATCCTCCCCCTCCACCCTGTGACCACATGGGGGGGGGGGGAACCACAGACAAAATGAAAGGGACTTACTTTCTCTTTCTGCTCCTCGGAGTGCATCTCCTCCTGCTCCCCCTGGGCTTGCTCGGGGGGGTCCTCCCTCTGCCTCCCCGTGGGCTCGGGCAGGCACGGGGCGAGCTCTGGGTGCTTAGCTGTGCTGAAGGGAGGGGAGGGTGGAGTAGGTGGGTGGGGGAGGCTCTGGGCTTCTTGGAAAGGCTCTGCTCCCACTCAGCCTTCCTCCTCTTCCCCCTCTCCTCTTCCTCGCCTTGTGTTTGCTGATGGCGGGGTGGGGGGGGCAATGTTGTTTTTTCCCCCCTCTCTCTCTTTTCGTTTTCACCAGCTGCCTGTCCCTGACCCCACCCAGCAGCTCCACCCCATCCACTGCTACATGCCCTGTCAATCACCAGCCCCTTTAAAGCTGCAATGCACAACTTGGGCTCCCCCGTGGGCTTATTTGGCCGCCCCCACGGCCAATGCCCAGCGCTATCCGCATAGGCTGCAGGACCCTCCCGAGGCGAGTGGAAGGAGCCCCCACCCCTTCCCCTGATCGCCTCTGTAGGGGGTGATTCCTTGGGGTGGGGGAGCTGCATGGATGGAGCTGCTACTCCCTCCCTGACTCCACCTACCTCCTGTGCACAAGTCGGACTGAGCGGCTCGGCAACACCCTAGCAGCTAGTTCTCCTCTTTCAGTTTCATCGGGCTGGTGAACGCGGCTCCCACTGAATTTGGGGGGCGGGTGGGTCCCCAAGGCTACACCGTCCTCCTCCCCCCACGCCCACTTCTGAGCCCAGAGACTTTCCACCGCTGAGCCTAGATCAGGACAATGAACTCTGCTCCCACGCCCTTTGGGGAACTGGGTGTCCAAGGAGAGCCCCTCGCCCCGATCTGGGTCGTTAACAGAGCGCACTTCTCAAGGGGGGAGGGGGCATGTGCGACGGAGCAGAAGCCAGGGCTGGGTGGGAGGAGCAGGAAGCTGGTCTGTGCCCAGCTCATGGGTGGTGTCTGCAAACTCCAGGGCGGGGCCGTTGTTTTCCAGCCCTTTAGCTCCATCTGCTTCTCCTGCGTTCCAACAGCCCGGCTGCTCGCTCACACCTTGCTAGCTTGGGAGCTGCTCTCTGTAGAGCGGCTGGATGGCAGCGATTCCCAATGGCTCCCTCCAGCCCAGTGGGTTGGTGCGGTATGGCCCATGCAACCTTGTGCCCTCACGCTAGCTAAATAAATTGCCTAGATCACATGGGTTTTTTATCTCCCCCCCCATGCAAAAATTGCTTTGCCTCCCCTGAGTGCTCTTATAGATGTGACTGTTCTTGGCTAAGCTAGATATATGGTCTTTTATTAGTCTTTCTGCTGGAGCAGACAGTTCAACTGAGACATCCCTGGCAGATGATTCACTTGCCATTAGATCTGCAGAGGAATAATAGGGACAGTTGCACCAAGCACCTCGATCTATCTCCTATATGAAGGACAGAGGGAATTAATGCCCTGTGGGCTAAAAGCTGGGTTTCTAGTTAAAGATGTACTAAGACTAAGGCTTCTCCTGCAGCTCTTTGATTTCCATGGTAGCCCCTTTCAGCAGAGGGCACTTTGCAGGTGTTCCTTTCACCTGTCTCTGGGGTGCATCCTGGTGGCTATTTGAAAGCAAGCTCCATGCAAAACCGTTGTCTCAGGCAGGAGACAACCGAGCCCCTGAAACGACAGGTGGCACTTGACTCAAGTGGCATGTAACTACCGAAACTGGAATCCATCCAGCACACAATGGAGGATCTGGGTGCTAATTGCCCAGGGATCATTATTAGCCACTGAGGACACCTCAATTCTACATCTCAGAAAGGTGGCAGAAGCACCACCCCCCTGACACCATTAGCCAGACATTGGTATCATCCTCATAGTATCTGAGCCATGCACAGTCAATGGATTTTATTCTCCCAACCCCCCTGGAGGTGGATTAATCTCCTTTCACAGATTGGGAGCTGAACCACAGAAAGGGGAAGACCAGGGGAGTTTCCCTCAGAAGTCTCCCATCTAGCCAAGAGGAGGGCTTACCCCAGCCCAGGAGGTATGACAGCATGCCTTTGAGGTAGAACATACAGCACTGGTTCTCAAACTTTTGTACTGGTGACCCCTTTCACATAGCAATCCTCTGCATGCGACCCCCCCTTATAAATTCAAAACACTTTTTTATATATTTTACATATTTTTTATATATTAACACCATTATAAATGCTGGAGGCAAAGCGGGGTTTGGGGTGGAGGCTGACAGCTTGTGCCCCTCCATGTAATAATCTTGCGACCCTCTGTGGGGTCCTGACCCCCAGTTTGAGAGCCCCTGACATACAGGGAATGCCCACCCAGATCAGATGAGACAGGTCCTCTTGGGGCATGGGATTACTTTCGACAAAGGGTAAGTGGGGGGCACTTATTTCCATCTTGGGTGGGATAGTCCTTCCTCCGCATGGCCACCCCTGCAAGTTATCCGGTGACCTCTCCACACCTCCCTCTGGATCTGGCCCCTCCACCCTCCATCACTGCTGATGTCACAGGTTCCCAGGGCTCTGAAGACTGCTCTCCTTCCCCAGCCAGCTGGCTTGCCTGCATGGACAGACAGCTGGCAATGGCTCTGAGGAGGAGGCTGCCCACAGGAAGTGGCAGGAGAGGGGACCCATCTGCCCCTTCTGTTCTGTGACCACCTCTGTCCTTTTGAGGAGGTGTCCAGGGATGAAACTGCAGGGCTCAGGAATGTCCGATTGGTCCACAGCCCCAGCTTCCTGCCCACCCCCCCTGACCTACTGGTGTCTGGATACTGGGTGGAAGGGTGGAGCATTCTCTCTCTGTCTCATTGGTGTCTGGATCCTGGGTAAACAGGTGCAAGCTCAGCTGGGTTGCTTCCCCTGTCCTCCTGGCATCTGGCTCCTGAGTAGAGGGGGGAAGGAGTTCTCACCCTGTCCCACTGGTGCAACAGATGTGGCTGCTGACAGTGCAGTTTCTGGCTCCTGGGGCTGGGAAGGGAAGCTGGCCTCACCCCTAGGAACAGTTCTTTCTCATGGCTGGGCGGGGAGGCAGCTGGGGCCCTTGAGCCCCTGGGTGGGGTGAGGGGAGGGGGCTCATTGTTGCCATGGATACGTTTCTCAAGTCACATTTCATTACAAAGGGTGTTTCCAGCATCTGAAACTCGCACTAAGAGAAGCCAGGAGAGCTCGGGGAACCGGCCAGGCGAGCAAACACCCTGGGCCTTTGGAGATATGCTTGTTCAGTTGCTTTTCTAAGGAAGTTTGCAAGAGTGGTGAGGGCTTAAAGGGGCACTGTCAGGCTGAACAGCATATAGATCTGTCCATGCTCTGCACTGCTGTCAATCATGGTGCTGTGTGCAAAGCACTCAGAAGTAGGAGCAGGCTATGTCAGGACCAGCCACTGCTAGTAATTAAGCCCAACACACTTTAAACTCCTCTACCTCGCTCTTCTCACTCCTGCCATGAGTTTACTCTTTGTAGCTGCTCGGCTGGGATGCGGAAGCCAGACAGGGCTGTATGGTCAGTTTCACTTCCAGTTTCACCCTCTGGTGAACTCAGAACATATTACAGACCTGTGGGAACTCAGCTCCCCCTTTCTCTTGGTGTGGTCAGTGGGGAAACTGAGGCTCAGAGGAGCAGGCAAGCTATTCTCCCCAGGTCACACCGGGAGCTCATCTCACTTTATGGTGACCAGGCTCTAACAGGCTGTGTTGTCTGGGTTTATGACACAGCAGGAGAAAATGTTTTTAACCCCACAAACTGTTGTATTTTTTCTTGTAATTTCATAGACTCATAGAATTTCAGATGGGAAGGAACCTGATCATCTAGTCTGACCTCCTGCATAACACAGGCCAGAGAACTTGACACAAGTAATTCCTCTATCAAGCCTTTCATATAAAGATTTGCATTCAGTGGCCGTATACTATGGAGTCAGTCATTGGCTATAGGACACAGAACCTTTCACCTCCAGATCACTGGTTCAACTGCTGCCCTGGGCAATAGAGAGTGGAGACCTAAAGACGTGACCATCTAGCAGCGGCTTGGAGTTTATGTAAAATGATCTGGGACAGGTGACTCCATAACAAAATTACTGGCACTAAGGAGTTCTCTTGGTACGCCAGTAGAGAGGCCAAGGAGTGAATGGGCCATGGATATTGGGTGGAAGCATTGGCACCAACACTGCACTATTGCTAAGTGGACCAGACGCTTAATGCAGCATATTGCCCTTGGACTCCATTGAAACTTTGGTTGCATTACATCCAAATCCTCCTGCCTGGGGTAATTAACAGGCCACTCCTTCACCCAGATCTCCACTGATGCGGACTTCGTCTGCCAGGACAATAAGGCAGAGCGCTAACTAGCCAGAAGACCTCCCCTTCAGCATGCAAAAGGGAGTCATTGGATGCATGAACCACTGAACTGCAGCCACTTCTGGAGGTGGAGCATAGCAGCACAGCAATGACACTCCATGGTTTTCAGGAGGGGAAATAAATAAAAAATCCTCCAGGTAAAACTGAAGGGGGAATCTCAGCTCAACAGAAGTAATAATCACACACAGAATCTAGGCAGGACAATGGTATTACCTACACCACAGGTTTATGAAAAGTGCCCTGGGGTCTATTGAGATCACAGTCACAGGGGGCATGGTTGAAGACCTTAGTTGGGAGGTTCCATTTAGCACACTCCCTGATTGTGGGGTACCCTGTGTTCATCTGTTGCCTGCTCATCTGACGGCTCCCCTCTTTGGGCACGTGTGTCTGACAAAGGCAGGCCAGCTCAGATGGGCCAGGCCTGCAATGGGCAGAGTAACAAGTGGACTGAAATGGCTTTGAAGGAGGAAAGTTCCTCTACTGCTCTTGGGTGGGTCTCTGTAATCTGTGCTACCTTCCGAATCCCCCCATGCAGCCATAACAGTAAGTAGAGTGCATGATATTTGCAGGTTGATCAAACATGGGTCTGGAGTGAGAGACTCCCCTTTCCTTCTAGCCTGTCCCCCCAGATCAGTATCTTGTGTTCTTGGCCTGCTGATCCAGCCGTGTTTGTGAGGGCAGCATCCTAGCAGCAACAGTGGGATGAGCTAGACTTGGAGATGTCACATCCAGATTCCTGATTGGGAACAACCAAAGAAGATCTTGGCCCTTAGTGAAGCCATCCCAGGTTTTACACTAAGCCTGGTGTAGGATGATATGGGATTTGGGGGGGGTCCATGCTGTGGGGATAGCCAGGATTAATAAAGCTCATGACTCAAGTCACAGATTTGTGGAGTTCCCACAAAGCCTAGGACAGCGTATCTTCAACATCATGGCCTGTGAAAGTCCCCAGTAACTGTGCAGCTGTGTGCTCAGCACCAGTTTACAGGGGACCTGCACTTCACTCCAGGTCTTTCCATGTCCCAACAACAGGGGCTGCGGGCATTGGGGAGGGGTTGTTCAGTGAGGATGTGAAGAGACCCACACCCCTCCTGGCAGGCAGAGTCAACTCCCTGGGACACATTCAGGAGCACAGCATTCACCTGGGACACTCCCTGCTGCAGGGAGTCATTGCTACCAATAGCTTGGGCTGATTCCAGAAAGGACCTGTCACTCACAAGAGCAGCATCTGCATTCATGGTCAGCTGGGCTCAGAGACCCACTCCTTGTGCTCTAGGGCAGGTGCCGATGGTAGCGATCTCAGCCATGGGTCAGGAGGGAGGCGCCCCTGGGGACAGCTTTGCACTCAGGTGCAGTGGGAAGGGGGCTACGTGCGCTCAACGCTCACCTCCAATGGGCCCATGATGGCAGCCTCCATTGTCCACTTGTTAAATTTCCAAACAGGCCCCTTTGTGTGTGGGAGGAGCACCCCATACACTTCTGCAAAGCTGCCTCATCATCAAACCCCTCCTTAGAATTCACCTTTGCCGTGACACCTAGAGAAAACTTGACAAGAGCGAGGCTGCAGGCGTGCTGAGCTCACTGC